GCAACTATTTGGTATTTATAGACATCGGTTCATGATGTTGAAATAAGATTCAGGATTAAATGGGACATGGGTTCAAAATTGTAGTCTGGACTCTGGAACTATAAAACTATCTTACAACTTGCTAAGACAATGGCACAGAGAAAACAAAAGGTTAGTGCCAGGACAGAACAGAATATACACTCATAATAAATTATCTTTTGCAGTACTCCCTCCGTCTCAAAATAAAGTTGAGACACTTATTTTGGGACGGAGGGAGTATTAACTAGCATCTCTAATAAAATGAACTTCTGTTCAAACATAGTTATTACTAAATGCAGTCTGCATGCCCGATGTTCAAAAAAATACTTCTGTCAATGGTGAGTGCTGTTGTGTTGGGTTGATAATAACTATTTTCAGTGTTTACCTTCGGACAATAGACACTCCGCAGAGCTTCTTGCAGAAATCAACTCCCGTATAAACAGATCCTGGACAAACAAGTAGAGCATCACATAAAATGTTTGGCACAGATAAATAAATACAAGCATGTGTGCACCTAGCATTACAGAAAACAACTGAAAACATATAAATATATGAAAATGGCCAGAGCTCCAGGTTTCCAGAAGACAACATTTTTTCATGCAATATTAAATCAGAGCATCCAAATTCAAATGTTCGCAGCACAAAACAAATTGCTGCTTTCAAGGAGTATTAATTTATCGGCATATAAAGTTAGGTGACAAACTCCAAGGCTCATTAATGGTAGAAATAGTAAGCATGAGCCCATGTCAACGAGCTTCATTTTCCATCTAATACTGTGTAACATCAAAGCTATAAAGAAAAACTAACTCTTAAGGGAATAGACTCTCCATATTAACAAGCTTCAGTTTCTACCTACTACTGCAGAACATCACAGCTACAAATCAAAAATAATCCTAGTGGGGCATAAACTCTCCATATCAACAATTTTCAATTTTCAATTTTCTATTCTAGTGCTATATTCGAGGGAAATAAGATACTAGCATCTAGCCCAACATTAGTCAGTGCATCAATTCTATTTTACTTCCTATTATTGTTGAAGTGGAAATGTTTGTCTTTACAACATTTCAACTTATGGTGTAAACTATTCTAGCAATAAAATTTCGTAGGTATAAATTCTTCTAGTTGATCAAACAACAATTATTCTAGGAAATCAATCAATGTGAAAAACTTCTCGACGAAACAGTACTTGAAATGCAAAATCGAAAAGTGGACAACTAAGTGAAAAAAGATACGCAATGCCATTTGCAAACTACCTGTTGGAGTAATAATCTGCTTTTCTGTAAATGGCAAATGGCCCAAACCATGCTCAACTACCTAACATGACATTATTCAAACAAACAGGAGACCAGTTAAATCAATTTAAAACTCAGTGCAATTAACTCAGCATAAAGTTGATAATAAGATAAAGGCTATGGAAACAAGAGATGTACCAAACGTATTAATCGATCTGAATAAAAGACAAAGTCAGGTGTAGTGATATCCCTATCACGAATCAGAGTATGCATTCCTCGGATCTGACAAATTCATCATAAAGGCAACTTCAAAATACAATGGAAAACAGTATAATGCTTAATCAATGAAGATGATTAACTTTACCTGGAAAGTTGATTGAACTACAAAGACGTTTCGGAAGACTTTGCACAAGTCATGCATACCAAGCTTTGTACGAATATGTTGAACGATCAGGTCAATTGCAACATGGTTATCACCTCCGCGTGGTATGATCACATCAGCATATTTTTTTGAAGGCAGAACAAAATCATCAAATGCTGGCTTCACAAACCTCCCATACTGAGATGCCAAAAGAATTGCATATTACATCACAGGAATTCACATATCAAGAAACAAATAGACAGAATCTTCTTGCAAATCACAAGGATAAAATCTAAAACAACAGCAGAAAATGTGCAATAGTTAACCAACCTGATCAAGCACCGAGCTAACATCTCTACCTCTTTCAACTGTATCACGCCTTATTCGCCGGGCAAGCCTAATATCTGCATCTGTTTGGATACACCATGGATGCAAGAAAGTGAACAAAATTTTAGCTACCAGCATGAAAATTATAGAGAACAAGTCAAATGCGTATAAGTGCACTGTACACGTAACACAGACCTGTGTCCACAAAAATTTTCATGTCCATCAGATTGCGAACCCTTTGATCATGGAAGACTAAAATGCCCTCCAAAATAATGACATCTGATGCATTGACCTTGCAAAATGAAATTTGACAAGTCATTTAGTTGGCGAAAAGGTTCATGATTAGACCAGTTTTCCTACTTGTCCAGTACTTCCAACTAATAACCATCTCGGTTGACGTTTCCAGGTACTGATAGAAGCCAGCAAACATAATACTGAAAAATAATCATTCTAAAACTTACAACCTGAAATAAATATATATCAAGATATTCAGTAGTACTAATTCAAGGAATGCATTCTTTATCACAGCTTAATAAGGTTTACTTCAAAATTACGAATACAGACTGCATAAGTTCACAAGTCAGAATAGTGCAGAGTTTTGGAAGTAGTTTGCCTGTTCATACAAATGTCTATGACATGATCATAAAAGGGTAAAAAAAACTTCAGTGACTAACAGAATTTCTTGCAAGGTTGTAAATTATATCAGGCTGCAAAAATGTTGCACGAATTATGCAATAAATTTTCATACTCAAACCAGTATTATTTTTCAATGTCTCACACAGAGAGCAAATAGCATGCCCTGTACTTCCAATATTTCCCATAGAAAGCATAGGTTTGCACTCGACCATAGAAAATACCAGATGGTCATATAGTTGTACAGATAGAAAAAAGGCTTCACTCAAAGTTATAGCAAAATAATTCTCAGAAAGAGTTATTGAAAAGTCCAATGAGCTGGACTCAAAATTGTAAACACGGGAAACTTCTTCATGTCAACAAGTTCATAAGGCATAACTGATTACTACCAACCTTTCGGAACCTTTCTGAGCACCTTCGGTGATTTTTAAAGTCATATATAGGAACATTTACAGGCAATGCACGTTTTAGTTGCCCCATGCATTCAAGAAGTTGCTCCGTATCAAATGCGTCTGTAAAAAAAAAACATCTGCTTCACATTCCACGAAACAATAGACAGCTTCTCTGATCACTAACAAAGGTAGCATAGTTCCAATCAACATGAAAAGTGAAATACCAGGATGATCGAAGTTGTAGTCCTGAGCACTTGCAGATTCTTCAGCAGTTAAGCCACGGTAAAATGAATCCTACAAAATTAAAGGCCATACTGAAAATCAGGCATGTCCGGGAAATGAAATTGGTCTGCCTTTGAAATTTGCTGTAGGATTGTGTGCGACTAGCTTTACTGCGACTTCATTGTTCAGTTCTGGAGGTGCGAACAACAGCAGATCATTAGGTGTCTGTACACTCATTGTTCAGTTCCCAAACTAAGTGATGGCTATGCTAGCACGACAGGCCTTCGAATTTGATGAACTGCAGCACTTGGACACGACAGACAAACTAAAAGGCATGATTCTACTGCAGGAGGTGGTGTCAAGTGAGGATCCCTAGCAGGCTGGTAGCGCAGAGCACTTCGAATCACAGAAGCAGACAGTGAGCAGACCTGGTTGACGAGCACGACGCGGTGGTCGTGGAGCTGCTGGATGATCATGTCGCACACCGTGGTCTTCCCCGAGGCCGTCCCGCCCGAAACCCCTGGAGAGACCACGCGAACAGTTAAGTATCAGTCAGAGCTTCAGAACCACGCCACACTGAGCGACTGGCCAGTGGGGGAGCAGGGCGCTGGAGAAAAGTACCGATGACGAAGGGCTGCCTGAGTGAGGAGGGGGAGGCGACGTCGGCGCCGGCGTGGGCGAGCCCGTTGGCGAGGGCGGCGGCGGCGCCGGCGGAGGTGGAGGAGGAGGGGGAGGAGGGCCCGGAGGGGGCGGGGAGGCGCAGCGCCTCGAGACGGAGGCCGCTGAAGTGGGCCCCCACCGCGGACTCCATGGCGTCGTCCACCGCCTTGTCCGGCATGGTGTCAGCGGTCTCCGGTCGGTCCCGCCGCCGCCGCCGCGCCGCGATCGATCGGGATTCGGGATTCGGGATTCGCTCGCTCGCACGGCGGCTTCGCGGGTCCTGCTGGGTGCTGGCTGCTCTCCCCGACCCGGATCCGCTCGCGAGTCGCGGTCGGGTTTTTGAACCGACGGGAAAATAATTAGTTTCCCCGAACGAAACGTGGTGCGTGGGGCCGGTTTTGCTCGTGGAGGGGAGGGGATGGGTGCGTGCGCCGTGGACTGGGGGAGTGGCGGGTGGGCCCGCCGATGGGGATGGGAGTCACGGCGCAGGAACACCTCGCGCACGCAGGGAGCAGGCGGCTGGATGGGGTGGGGCCGGTGGCTAGCTCGGTGTACGATCTGATCACGCTGTTTTTCTCTTCTTCTCATCTCAACGACAAAAAGCCCATGAAGCATGTTGATTCGTTCGCTGCAACTGCTCTGTCGTCTATCAGCAGTAGCGTAGCGTATATAATACGGTTGCGTCAGTAGCATGAGTATGCGTGATCCAGTTTAGGGTATGGATGGATGGACAACTGATCGTTCAAAAAAAAACTGATCGATCAACGTGCGATGCACATGGCTCGAGACGTCTTGGTACTGGTGGTGTTAGAAAAAAGGAGACCAGGGCCAATCTGATTCCGCTCCTATCGACAACATGTGCCGCCTCGCCGTGTCCTCCCGTTTGGCAATGGCAGCGTGATACGAGGGAGGGAATGAGGAATCAGATCCTAATCTCAACCTGCGACGCACAGTGAACCACAAATATCGCACGGTAGTAGTGTCTTCCATGTCACTGTTATCAGTTTATCACTATCTCTACAAGACCCAAACTGCGTGAAAGCCAAGCGCACATTTTATTCGGAATCGCAAAACTGCTGACGAGCGTCGTGCAGAGTGGTTCTAGTTTACAGCAGAAACATACACGCAAGTCCGAGCGCGCAGAGCTACAGATGATCAGCTCTTGATCTGCGACGCCTCCACGCTCTTGCGCAGCGCCGAGATGACCTCTCCGGGGTCGGGCGCGCCGAACACGGAGCTCCCGGCGACGATGCAGTTGGCGCCGGCCGACGCGGCGGCGTCGATGGTGGAAGGACCCAGGCCGCCGTCGACCTACACACACAAACAATATAACGTCAGGAAACAATATAACGTCAGGAAACGAGACGCCGTGGGAAGATCGCCTATGGGCGCCTGTGGCTGTGATGTGATACTAGCCGAACATGGATCGGCATTGTAACTGTACCTCAATGTCGAGCGACGGGTGCTTCTTCCTCAGCGTACGCACCTGGAGAAACAAATCCAGGTTGCAGACAGACAAGTGGTCAGAACTATCCTACTAGATAAGAAAGGGTAAGAGTATCGACCCCGGAAAACAGAGTGGGTGGATACCTTATCCATCATCTCCGGCATGAACTTCTGGCCACCGAAGCCAGGCTCGACCGTCATCACGAGAACCAACTCTACAGGGGTTTCTGCTTCCACCTGTAAATACATGCAGTTGTTAGTAGAAATGCTAGCTAATCGGAGATCAGATGATTAAGTTTAGACAGGCCATCATGACAAAGGCCGTTCATCTGCAATGGAAGATGTACTAGAGTACAGTAACATTCAGTGAAGATTGTGTAAGAAGGGGAAGTGAAATGCGCCTGAACAAGGGAAACTGGATGTGCTTGTGCCACAATCATTTTGGTCAACAAATTATGCTAAGAGTTAAACATAACAGATTACTACTTGAATGGATCAATGGACCAATAGTCCAGTATACGAGTGCACAACAACACTAGTACAGTACCTAAAAAGGAACTACTTCCTACATAAATCAGCTCTGGATGGGGTTTCAGTTCTGGACACCAGAGGACACACTGGATTTTATGTATTAGAAATAAAGCTAACTGTACACATTGAAAATAAATGCATACAAGCTCACTTCTCATGTTAGCTGTTAATATGATTTTTTTTTATTTTAAATGTATTTTCTTCCAGTGGTTTTTCAATAATGTACAACATGATAACAAGAACAATTGTATGGAACAAATGAAGTTACCAGGGGAAAAACATCCTCCACAGGAGTACCAGGCTTCAATGATACACCAGGTCGCATGCCCTTTGCTTTAATGCTTTGGATGAGCTCTTTCCAGTTATCTGCACCAAGCTTTCCATAAGGCAACAAAAATCATGAACCATTCGCAGATTTGTCAGCACGTGGTTTATTTACCCCTGGTTACTTCTATATGGAACGTGAATCCTGAGGCACCAGCTTTTCCAAATGCCTCTACATAATCTGAAGGATTTGTGACCATGAGATGGCAGTCCAAATATGCCCTAGAAATCAAGAATAGCAGTATTAGGTGCATACAGCCTATACGAACAGAATCCATCAAAGTGAATATTAGATAAGACAAGGAAGGTATACTTTGTGTGCTTCCTCAAGCTCTCAATCACTGGAGCTCCAATAGTTAAATTAGGAACAAAGTGCCTGCGTGTGCAAACAGCCAGCTTCAAAATTGATAGTTCTTTTGGTTATCATCAAAATAGTCTATCATCAAATTTCCGGACAAGATGAATGCATTGTCCTTCAAACTTGATTCAACATATATAACATAATAATGATATTCTTTTTGCATGCAGTCTTTCATCTGGGAGTTATAGAAAGATATTCAAGAGAACATCCAGACATAGGATCTGTATGATCCTGTTGACCAAAAAAAAAAAAGATTCCCACATGAAGGAAGACAGCAAGTCATGTTCAATACTTACTTCGATGATGTCCATTTCATAAAAAAAAAACATCTTAAGCAAGCATTCTACTTTTCACCATCTTGAAGAAGGTATCTAATTTCTCTCCCTTATGCTCAAGGTGTGTGATCTCTGCCTAAGCAAAAAGAGGGAACACCATCTCCATACTGACTGCAGATACCTCTTGTTTCATCATTAGCAACTTTCAATTTTCCTATTGTTTATTTTCAGAACGAAAGGTCGACATTCCTTTAAGTAGGCAAAATGTGAAAGAATGGTGCATAGTTTAAGATGCATCTTTTTCAACTTTAGTCACATGGCTATCAGGCTTATTGCTTTCCTTCTTATATACTCCTACATAGTTTGGAAATCATGCTCTTTATGTGAGATTTTATTAACATTTCGCATCCATGAGCAGGATGTTCGAACAAGCAAGGTATCTAACGGAAGTAGCCAAAAATTAAACAGCAAGGTCCATAGGTCGAACAGCAACTAAGAGAACATAGATGTGTGGGTTAAACACAAAAATCATCTAGGTAGATGTAGCTTGTAGGCATGTATACAGCCACCTGCATATTTATCTAGTTAGCTTAGCTTAAACACCCACTGCCAGCCTGCTATGCTAGCAGATAAATAAGGGCAAACATATCTTCCATTATTTGAACGAAAGGCAGAGCTCTGCCTACATACTAAGAGATAAGGAATAAAATTTGGCATTGGTATGTCAGAATAGTTTTTTGGCACCAGAAAGTGCCGACACAATTCAGTAACAGATCAAAATCGATCTGCCGCATCCGCAGTGGAAAGTAGAGACAAACTCACCCATCCTGCAAGGTGGAAAAGGAACAGAATGAGCATAAGGCAAATGGAATTCCAAGCTTGAATGTCCATGATCAATGCACATGATCCCTGTCTAAAAGAAAAATAAAATGGAACACAATCGTTGGGAGGAACAAAATTAACTACTAGAACACATTCCCTGAGAGGAACAAAATTAACTGAACTTGTCACATGCCTGTAACAGGCAAGTCACAGCCTTGACATGGATTTGGCTGTATTTCCGTTATATCTTTAATGGAAAGGGGATTAGCCCAGTTCACAAAAAAAAAAGTCACTGCCTTAGACTAGTAAGTACCAGTACAGTTGCAGCATAGCACATCGCAGACCAGAACTACTACGAACATGACAACTCACGCTCATGCTCTGAACAACGATGTTCAGAGTAACCTTTCAGTAGCAGAAAGCGGAGCAGAGAAGACTGTCAACTCCGAACAGATTCTACCGAATCGCCTATGCTCACTGCAAGGCCTAGTTGTGTGCAGAAACAAGAAGTATGGCAGCTCCTCTGATTCATTCAGTGGTTCAATCCTATTATCCCTAGTTCCCTACCATGACCGACTCCGTCACAGCGTCCAACGACTGAAGCGACCATAACAGTGCGCGGTCCAATCCTACTCCTGGACGAATCTCGAGGATTCGAGGGTGGATCAATCAAGCAGGGTTAGGAAACATGGCGGGGGAGAGGGGATGGTCGGGCGGATCGTACCATGACGTCCATGTGGAGCCAGTCGGCGCCGAGGCGGACCATGCGCTCGGCCTCCGAGGCGAGGTTGGCGAAGTCCGACGACAGCATGGACGGCGCTATCTTCGCCGCCGCCGCCGCCGCCGCCGCCATGGTTGGTGCTTCCGATTGGAGGACCGGAGGTCGCTGGGTGGTAGACTGGTAGTTGAGTGTCGAAGGTGGGGAAGCGGACGACGTTTCGTTCGGGTCTCGTGACGGAACGGAGGCGTTTCACGCCTGTGTCTGGGGCAGGTGAGCTGCCTATGGCCCACTCGTCAGTGGCTGGAGAAGGGGCTGCTACTGCCAGGGCCAACACAATACTGTTTTTTTCACCAACCCTTGGCCGTCGGCTAAGACGAAATCATTTGTTGAATTTCATACCCCTCAAAAAAATTGTTGAATTTCATGAATAAATATCGAGACTTGTAAAAAGTTGTGAAACGAGGGGAAATACAGAGAAGCACTACCCCCCTATACGAAATTTAAATACAAAATACCAGAAAAGTGCAAAAAAATATGGAATCTTGGGATATAAAACCCGGGTGCCCAACCTACACCAGTGTGAAGTTTCGTGAAAAAATACTACGAAATGTATCTATGACGAAGAAAATACAGTCTGACCTACAATCCAGAAACAATCTTTTTCCTATACATTGAAATTTCTTGTCCCTTTTTGCCATTGATGCGTTTCCTGGTATTTTTTAACAAAACTTCACATGAAAGTAGATTGACACCTAGGTTTGATATCCCAAAATTCCATAATTTTTTCAAATTTTCTGGTTTTTTAAACTAAATGTTCATATAGGGGAGCGGACTACCCATGTGCTACAAATCCTCTTCCATGAAATGAGAGCTTTGCTAGTTGCTGCTCATGATATTGTACGTACATGCTAGGCTAAACACATGGCGAGTTAGGAAAAATATTAGAGCAAATCCAACAGCTCCCTTATTTTTTTCTTTGTAAAACTGGTTTTTTGGCCTTCTTGTAAAAGTAAGGCGAAGTTATTTGAAAGCAACTTTTGTCAGTTCCTCCAAACTTTTTCCTCTAAATCTGGTTTTTTGTTTTTAATTAAATAAAAAATAAAAAATATTCCTAGGACCCGCTAGTCAGTGACACACGTGGCGGTGGGTGGTGCGGTGGCTGTCGGCGCGAGGCAGCACGGCGGGGAGAAAAGACCACTTTTACGGGATCCTCTAAAGTTAAGGCCAGTTTACAGGAATTGTTGCAGATTTGTTTTTGGATCAAACTTCCCGTAAAGGCGGTTATTTTAGAGATAAGGAAACTGTCGGAGTTGTTCTTAGGGCGTGTTTGGTTTCCTGCATGAGGCCCAACCAGGCCCACGCGGAAAGAATCCGGTCTGTTTGGTTGCTTGCTTTTACTGTTCGGTCCGCATGGCACGAACTTTAAGGCACTCCTGGGCCTGGCTCCCTGGGAACGCCCGAATCGGCAGTTTCTCCAAGGCCAGGCCCGAGCGGTGCACGTGGGCGGCGGCGGCTGCACGCACGCGGCCACGCTCGAGAAGTCGCGTTGCTTCTCAAAGCACCGGCAGTTATTACCCTCACCGCCGCTCCCTCTCCCTACTCTCCCAACTCTCACTGGCGGCGGCGGATCGGAGGAGAGAAAGAAGACTACCGGACTCCATCACCGGCGAGCGGATCATCACCTGGGCAACGACAATGGCGGTAAGCACTTCTCTGTTTGTCATGCACTACTTTTTCGCGTTCGATCCGGCGGTAGATTCGATCCACGGCGGAGATGGGAATGGGGAATAGAGGTAGATAAGCATGGCAGTTCATAGTAGTTCATACGAGTACATAGGAGTTCATGCAAGATCGGAATAGAGGTAGATGCGGTTGGAGTAGAAGGGGGATTGGGGGTACAGAACAGACACTGGCTAACCGCGGCCGCTGTTACCAGCGTGCGGAGCGGCTGATCGAGTGGTTGGCCTTCATCTTCTTCTTCATCGCCGTGCAGGGCGACGCGTCGTCGTCGTCGTCCTCGGCGGAGTCGAGGTCGATCTGCTAGGTACGACAGTCTGGCTCCGGCGCCCGCGCTGGAATCTGCACCGGTTCTTCCTCCTCCTCCTTAGGCTCCCACCGATGACCGTAGGCGGCATGATTGCCCTCTCCCAGTACACTGCGGCACGGCGGTCATTAGGAGCCCAGTAGCTCTTGTACTTGGACCACTTCTTTCTCTGTTTAGCATCGTCGGAGACGGCCTAATTCATGGCCCAGCGGTGATGTCGACTGCCATCACGCCCTTCACTGGGTTAGGAATCATCATCTTCAGCTCTTGAGAGCCACTGCATCAGATTCTTTCTGCATCTCAGCCATGGAGCCGAAGTTCGAGCACACCTCCATGGTGTTCTCGAACTTGGTGCGGTCACCAGCCGACCACCCGAGGAAGAAGGCCCTCTAGCCAATACCCCAAGGGAAGGGATTGGCATTGGAGCTGGAGCTAGAGCTCATGGCAATGGAGAGGAGGAAGGTTGATAGTGAGAGAAGAGAGGGGGTGGGTAAGTAGTGGTGGGCAGGGTGAGTAAATATAGGGGCGATGAAAAGGAGGAGAAGAGTGACAGTCATGCCGTTTTAACTACATGCTCTTCAATAAGCCATGAACTTTGTGTTGTGCCTGACTCCATGAATTGTGTGCAGATCGAGGAGAGCAATGAGATGGGCACCGAGGTGGTCCCGGCCGTTGACAACAAGGGCAAGCAGCCCCTTCATCCAATGTCCGACGAGGTTGTGCTGCCGCCCACCACCGATGAAGACCCCAAGATGCCTGAGGTTGGTGACGACGAGTGCATGGAGGAGCCCCCCCAGCAACAAGCACTGCAACTATGGCCACTAGCATGAGGAGGATGGCCCAACTCACTTCTGCAAGGTCATCCTTGCACCGAAGCTTGAGTACATCCCCATGCCCATCGACTTCACCAAGCACCTCTTTGCGGTGCCGACGGAGTTCAAGCTCAGGAACAACACCGGCTGCTCCTGGAAGGTGACGGTGAAGCTGACGAATGGCAGGGTGACCCTGGATCAGGGTTGGGCCACCTATGCAGTTGTTCATCAGATCAAGATCGGCTACATGGTGACGTTCAAGCTCCTCACTCCCGACACCCTCAAGGTCAACATCTTCGATGAGGATGGCATCGAGGTTGTTAACAAGTGCGGGAAGCACGACGAAGCCTTCGCCACCAAGGAGTAGGGCTGGGGCACCTCCTTTCTAATTACTATCGAGTCTTCTTTGAACTGTTTATGGTTATGCTTTGAACTGTTATGAAGTGTGGTACTGCTTATCTGAAATATGCTCTTAAGTAGTTGATCCTCTGTTTATACTCTGCTCTGCTTATGATGTGTGCTACATGGTTGTGTTGAAGTGTGCTGGTAACCTCATCAACTAGCCAAAGAGGTTACCACACTCCAAGCGTTGCATACAACCAAACACCATGCCTTTGGTTTGTCCACTAACATACAGGCAACCAAACACCAGGCAGTGTGGTTCAACCCATGCAGGCAACCAAACAACTTGCAGATGGTGCATTTGAGGCTGCATTTGTATAGCCAGCTGAGTTGAGAAGACTATGCAATGCAGCTACTGTAGCCTACAGCAACCAAACACGCCCTTAGTGTATGCGCTAGGACTCCTCGAAGATGGCAAGATTGTTAACAAAACATTGGAAACATGATGCAATATCTTATGATGTGTTTGGTTGCCCGCATACACCCCAACCAGGCCCGCACGATATGAAATGGTGTTAGGGCACCTTTTTCCCTGATTTGTTTTGGTGATTGATGACAATACTTTTGCGGACTAATCGTGTGCATTAAGCTTTTCAGGTTATCTAATATAAGGGCACTGTGCGATTGTTACCCCTCGAGGACCTAACTTTAGAGGATTATTTTCCTTCGTTTCTTTTCGGTGGAATTGAGTCGTAGGGATAACCGTACTATCAAGAGGGGATCCGTTTCGGAAGAGTAGGGGTGGAATCATCACGTTCACACTTTCCTTGCTCCCTCGCCTTCTTCCTGCTTCTTTGGAGTATTCATGCTGTGCAAAACAAGGGGTGTTGGGTGCCAAGCGGTAGTACCGCGGCCAGGGCGGTAGTACCGCATATCGGCGGTAGTACCGCTTGTTAGTGCCGCTGATACTACCGCCCCTGCTATGGTCTCGATTTTTCGTGTCGGATTTCCGTAAAGGACCACGCAGGGGAGCGGTAGTAGGGACGACAGTAGGGTGCGGTAGTACTACTTGATTAGCAAAAGTACCGCTCCTACATCCGCTCCAACTGCCGCTCAGCTCGCTGCCCTCCCGTGTTTTCCAACGGCTGTAGGGAGCGGCAGTACCGCTTATCGGCGGTAGTACCGCCCTCAGGGCGGTAGTACCACCCTAGTGTGTGTACTTCTTCTCCCTCGGCCCTAGTTGCCCTATGCCTGCTTGCCACAGCGATAGTACCATTGTGGCAGCGGTACTACCGCTCCGGCAACGGTAGTACCGCCTAGATGCGGGCTGCGGGCTGCATAACGGTTGGATGTGTCCCCCCACTATATAAAGGGGTCTTCTTCTCCAAGAAGACTCACCTCTTCCATCCCCAAGCTCCTTTATTGCTCCAAGCTCCATTTTCGCCCGATCTCTCTCCCTAGCCAATCAAACTTGTTGATTTTCTAGGAATTGGTTGAGAAGGCCCCGATCTACACTTCCACCCAGAGAAATTTGATTTCCCCCACTAATCCCTTGCGGATCTTGTTACTCTTGGGTGTTTGAGAACCCTAGACGGTTGAGGTCACCGCGGAGCCATAGTCCATTGTGGTGAAGTTTCTTGGTGTCGTTGGGAGCCTCCAATTAAGTTGTGGAGATTGCCCCAACCTTGTTTGTAAAGGTTCGGTCGCCGCCTCCAAGGGCACCAATAGTGGAATCACGGCATCTCGCATTGTGTGAGGGCGTGATGAGAATGTGGTGGCCCTAGTGGCTTCTTGGGGAGCATTGTGCCTCCACACCGCTCTAACGGAGACGTACTTCCCCTCAAATGGAAGGAACTTCGGTAACACATCCTCGTCTCCATCGGTTCCCCTTTTGGTTATCTCTTACCTTTACTTGTGCAAGCTATATTGTGTTA